TGTTGCAAGCGGGAGTTACCACAGGATTAATAGCCCAGGCCTATCCAGCAGCTCTCCACCCTGGCTCCTGGGAGGCACATCCTGCGATTTACCTCCTCCACAATGGCTCAGGGCAGGGTCGGTGGGGGGCCCTTAAGGTTGGGGTTCAACCTTTTTTAATAATCCAGCCATATATGTAGTAGTTTTTCTTTAATTATTAAACAAAGTATGACGCATGGCATTACGTGGGTCCATTCATAGAGCAATAATTGAAACAAAAAAAGGTCACCGATAAAACTTTTACTCCCAGCCGTGAACACCGACCACGTAAGGTTAATTTTTTTTGGCTCTATAAAACACTTGTTTGAGTTTTATATTATCAAAAATTCAATTTCAATCATATATTTATAGTAAAATAATATTACACGCAAATCGAATTTTTTTTTTCATTTTTTGATCACCCATTCTCCAAAAATAATTATAGAAAAATGTTTTTTTTCCCCTCAAAATGAAGCTCAAACAAGGTCTAGACCTTTGTTTGGGCTGCATTTTAATGAATTTTTGGTAAAACATATTTTAAAATAGTGATTTTTTAAATAATATGTGGTTTAAAAAAGAATGAAAAATTTTGGGTTTATATGTAATATTATTTTATTAAATAATATGTAATTAAAAAAAAAGTGTATTAAAATTATAATGGAGTCCAAACAGGAATTAAATTGAGTTTTAAACTTTCTTATGGAAGATTTCCAATATTAAAGTGAATTGCTTCAAGGCAAAATGAAATGTTCTACCATTGATAGAGTAGATTGGAAGACTTTGAGTGGTATTAAAATGAAACTCCAATCCCACATAGTGTTACCAAACATGCAAGGTAATTGTCTCACTTATCTCACTTTGAGTACAACTTTTAATTGCACTAAAAGTCTTCAATATTTGCTAATTGTCTCACTTATACCCCAACTTTTACATCTCATTTTTTTCATAACCGTCGATTAACCAGCACATTTTGTCAATGATTTTCATCTAAAAAATTCATTATGAGAGCGTAAAAAAGAAGATTTATTTACGTGATCATATTTTTAAATTAAAAAACAACAGGTAATATTTTGGGGTTATTTGATAACATTTTTATTAAAGTTTTAGTAATTTTGATGAAATGTGTAATTAAAAAGTAGATAATATTATGAGTTCTATGAAATGTGCTGTTAAAATTAAATAATTGAAATTTTTTAGCGAAGCTTTGTCAAACAACACTTGAACAAAAATCAATATTAGGGATCAGATGTGCTAAGACATAGTATTTTAACATAAATTATCATTAGGGGGATTATGTTCTAATTAATGAAAAATTGAAGATAAAATGCGACAAGAAAGAGAGAAACATAAGTCAGCGAGACAATATGCAAATATTGAAAATCTCTAATGTAATTTAAAAAACGACGCAATAAAAATTAAAGTGCGAATATAACCACCCTTTATAGTCTACGCACCAATAAATTGAATAGACAAATTTCAAGTCCTAACCGCATAAATATCTTCACGCGGTCTTGTAGACCACATGAGTGGACGGCAGAGACCTTTCTAAGAACCTTACAAAATACTTGAACAAAGTAGTCCCTCTGTTGCGTTTATATAACCCCCCACGTAAATCTTGTCAGATAAATTAATATTCCATTCCATCCTAAGAAAAGCATCACTTCCTCTCACTATATATCTGTACCTTTCTCTATCTCTCAAACTCAACCAAAAATGGAGAACATTGATTATGAATACAAGAATGATTGGGAAACCAGTATGTTTCTCCCATCAGAAGAACTCGACAGGTAAAAGTTTTCAGATTTTCGATCTTTTCGTAGTCTCGTCTGGTATGTAATGAACTTATAATCATAGAACCGATCGTGTGGTCGTTTGAATTTTGCAGTTATCTCGACGAAACACTGTTGGCATACTACGATTCGAGCTCTCCGGATGGAACCTTATCATCAATGGCATCAAAGAACATTGTATCAGAGAGAAATAGGAGGAAGAAACTCAATGAAAGACTCTATGCATTGAGAGCAGTGGTCCCTAAGATTTCAAAGGTGACCCCATTAAGCCATTCCTAATAGTATACCCTTTTTTTTTACCCAACTCGATGCAATCTTGATTGAATCGTCATTTTTTTTTTTTTTTTTTTTGTTGTTGATATTTAGATGGATAAAGCGTCGATAATCAAAGATGCAATTGATTATATTCAAGAGTTGCAAGAAGAAGAGAAGAGAATTCGAGCCGAATTATCAGAGCTCGAATCTGGTGGATCATCGAGTAGTACAATTTTCGACTTCGATCAAGAGGCTACAACTTTTTATTCAAAACCAAAGAGATCAAGAATTGATCAATGCTATGATTCTGCAGGATCAAGATCATGCCCTATTGAAGTTCTTGAGGTGTGCTCATAGATTGATCAATTTTGATTAATTGATTATTTTAATTACTTATTTTTATTAATTTTGCAGTTGAAGGTATCCAATATGGGAGAAAAGACAGTTGTGGTTAGCCTCACATGTTGTAAAAGAACAGACACAATGGTAAAGCTTTGTGAGATCTTTGACTCTTTGAAGCTCAAAATCATTACTGCCAATATCACTACTTTTTCTGAAAGGCTTTTGAAGACCGTATTCATCGAGGTTATATTCTCTCTCTTTCACACCACATATCTCGACTCCATCTGTGTCTTAGATGATCCACTATGATCGTCTATTTTACACCTCCATGCGAACTTGGGTATGCACATAATTCTATGCTACTGCTACCGAACTTGGCCAAATACATCAAGTTGGATTTTCCTTGAAAATAGGTTATAGTGGGAGTCAACCTTAGCATAAATCAAATCAATAACGCAATTTACCAAGTGGCGCCCCTTGTTCACTTTTATGTAAGGATTTCTATGGCCAGTAGGATTCCATAAATCTAAAGTCAAATAAAATATTTCCGTGTTTTTTTTTACTTTTTAAGTTACTTTAAATTTCGTCGTTCAATTTCAAATCGACTGATTAACATGTATAATTTTCAGGCTAATGAAGAGGAAAAAGACCTTCTAAGACTAAAGATAGAAGCAGCCATTGCAGCTCTAAATGATCCAGACAGCCCAATGAGTGCCTAAAACGGTCTTATAATTTTCACAATGAAGCAATAGAATCAGTTGAGAGCGTACCAAGTATGAGTTTTTTTTTTTTGTAACGTTCAATTGTCCCTTTTTATGTTTTTGAGCACCTCTTGTACACGGAAGTTTGTAAAGAAGAATGCCAAATGCCAAGTGGCTTAACTGCATTGGATGTTGGACAAAAAATAGACTTAAACGCATCAACGCAATACTGCCGTTTGACATCTTATCAAACTGTCTAGCAAGCAACTTGCACATTTCGCATGATTGTATGTTTATTGTTAGTATGTTCCTCCTCTGTAATGTAGTTTAGCTTCTTGAAGGTGTAAATCTCTGATCAATGATAAAGTCTATTTAAAATTAGTAAATCTTATTTTATTTCTTGTTGTTTAGCTCAAATTATTAGTGATTATTGAAAAGTACTTAGTATTATTAATAAGGTTGCTGAGATACGCTATACTCCTACAGACAATGCTGAGTCAGCATATTTCTTGGATTAGTACAGTTGATGGGAATATTTTTCATTAAATTAAGGTTGAAATCAAATCAATTTCCCCCAATAATTTTATCGGTTGTGCTACGTATGCATAATGATTTACATACACAAGATGTGATAAAATATGATTGAGTCAGAATTTCTTCAACCAAATAAAAAAAGAAAAGCTTCTCCACTCTCTTTTTGACACATCGTCTGTATGTAAACCATTATGTAACTCCATTTTATACAAGTAGCATTATTCTAATTTTATATATTTAAACTGGGTTTTGATTCAGTTACCATCCTAAAAACTCAGATATTGTCACAGACCAATCACAACTTTTTTAGAGGCAGCATGCAGATACCACCATACCAATGCTCAAATGAATATTCATTTAGTGAACAATGGAGAGTTATAGATAATCCAAGCCTATTGATATAGATAATTCGTGGATTTGAATGAAACATAACTACCTAATAATTACAAGGAGTGAGTACTGAAAATTCACCACAAAATCACAAAGGCCGCTCGATTGGGCTAGGGGTAGGGGAGTTGCTCGACCCATGGGCAATGAAGACCACTCGTACGTGGTAGGAAAGTCAATCCCAATCTTGTTCCCTACTTGTGCCTTAATGACCTAACTATTTGGATCATGTCTTCCTAGATTCACTCTTATTATCCCAAAATAAGCGGGATGGATAAGGGTGCATGTCATTACCTACGGTCACAAATGAAGGCATGTGTACAAAGATATTGTTGCCACGTGGACAAGGTGATAGGGCATCGATACCCGAGGCATTTTTCTTTAGGGTCATTCTCAACATTATTAGGTTTCATATTTGCACATTTTCTCTCTCTAAAATATATTGGTTCTCATGGCAGATGGAGAAATCAAAAGAGTTACCTGCCTTGGAGTATCGAAGAAGCATTTCTAACTCAATTTTTCACATTGCAAGACTTCTTGTTATCGAGGAGCATCTTTCTTTCCAAAGTCAACTTTTTTATCTTCCAATGTCAAGATTCATGACGGACTTCTATTTCTCGAAGTCATTTTTTAATATTATGATTGTTCTTCAACAATTCTCGTGATCTTGAAAATTACAAATTACTTTTGACGTTATCATGTCTTGATTAGGCTTCATATTCTAAAATGCGAGCTAGATTTCAGTCGCACCATATGCACAATCTTATGTTTTTAGTTAAAATTACTTACCTAAATTTAAATATATAATGTTTCACTTATATGGTTAACCATTTTGTGAGCTTCTTGCAAAACATAAGGAGAGAGGAGTACTATTTAAGAAAGGAGCCAATATTTACCTTCATCATTATTATGTATAAATCCACTTTTGAAAAAAAAAAAAAATTATATAATATTTTTAATCTTGTATAAATTTAATTAGATAAAAATATATAAAATTAAATAAAAATATATCACTCTAAATTTATCCACTAATATTTATATTCTTTTGGATCTTTTTATATTCATAAAATATTCACTTCAACTAAAGTCAAAACAACAATGGAAGAGACACCATTAGAGTAAATACATACAGACATGGCAATATATGAAGAATAATTTGAAAAAGTAAGAATTAACTTTTGTTGTGGATTTGATGAATTTAATATGAAAAAGTTCTTGCTTTGCGTTTGAGCTATTTGATAATGTGCATTTTGAATTCAAGTAATATTAGTAAGAAATTTCATTCCGAATTATTTGAGTTTTCTGTTGGGATTATATTTTGTTTTCTTGATTTATTTATGGGATAAAGGAAAAAATCAACTTGAACGGGAATGTTAGTTTAACATCCTGGACGGAAACGCATTTCATCGTGTTGTGCTGCCAACTACGAATCATCCATGTCCATTCCCAACTTTTATTATTATGATATACACTTATTACATTCTCTACGTATTTTCAAAACTCTAAATCCAATTTCCGAGATGTTAATGAACAAGAAATACTTCTATTTATGGACAATATCTTCCGTTTCGTCCAAGTAGGATCCAAGGTATCGGCCTTATTGGATAGAATGCCTTCACAAAATGAATTTTTAGGTGTCTGCCATTGCATCAAACTTATCCACTATCTGTCTCCCATTATTGCAAAACTTTTTTTTTAACACTCATTTTCAACTATACGTTCACATATTAAAAATATTTCTCAAAACTTTCGTCCAAAACTTGTTCACATTGTTTTCAATTTTCCCATTTTCCAGCAACCGGAAAACTCCCCCTCCAGAGCCACCGTTTCTACCCCCACAAACCGACCAGATCCCGTCATCATTCGAACCCCCTGACCTCCCTCTACAACGTCCACCGATTAATTGACGGAAAATCATCTGGAATCAGCAAGAAAAGCATCGGCACTGCTCACTGTTTCGACCCATAAACACGGCCACCGGCCACCTTTCCGATCGTGGACCACCACCACTCCACTCCTCTCAACAAGGCGCATCCAATACTACCATGGGTCACCTTCAAGTTTCTTCAGCACCGACAG